TCGGCAGGTGAAGCCGGTGTTCTTTTGCTAGAACACCGGCTTCACAGGCATTCAGGAAGCCGGCCGACGGGGCATGATCCGCCACCGGACTTCCTGATAATCTGGGCACCGATACTCGGCTAGTACCGGAAAAAAAAATATCGGTACTCGATACCGGAAAAACCAGTATCGGTGCATGTCTACTTCTAACCTTTATCCACTCTAACCAAAAAATAACAATATTTTGACTAGGGATGCACCGATACTGATACTAGTATTGGTGCCGATACCGAGTATTTGGGTGAGTACTTGTACTCGCCCAAATGCTCCGATACCTAGCACGAGTACTTCCTGTATCAGGAAGCCGGGCAGCGCATCATTACACGCTGCCCGGTTTCATGATTGGCCGGGAAACGGCTCCATTCTCTCTCGTCACTTGTGATGAGCCAGCATGGAGCCGATTTCCCAGCCAATCAGGAAGCCGGGTAGCGTGTAATGACGCTCTGTCTGGCTTCCCGATTGGTCAGGCAGCAAGCGAAGCCGGGCGCCGTGTAATGACGCAGCGCCCGGCATTCTGATTGGCCGGAAAGGCGGCGTCATGCTCCCTCGTCATCTCACGAATCATAATATTAAGAAACTGACCTTAAAGCATTAGTTTGTATTGCTTTAGAAAAAAATGTGATCTGTCCCTTTAAGAAAAAGTATCGGTAATTGGTATCGGCGAGTACTTGATCAAAAGTATCGGTACTCGGTCGTTAAAAAGTGGTATCGGTGCATCCCTACTTTTGACTAAAGCTGAGTTTTGTCCCGATCACAGATGAACTTTGGCCCAGAGATAAGAATACAAAGTCAACTGTTTTCAGTTGGTCAAATGTCGGCGTGTGACCTAAAATAAGAAGCAGTCTTAAGGCCTGGTTCACACCTAGGCGTATTGCATATGCGCGTCTGTCGCGCGGTAAAAAAAAATCGCGCGACAAACGCGCGTTTCCGGGGGCTACTTGGCTGTACCCCAATGGAAACGCGCAACAAAAGCCGGCCCATAGTAGTACCTGGACCTTTTCAGGCGTGGGCCGTTTTGTAGCGCGTTAGGGACGGGCTGAAATACGCCGAGGTGGGAAGCAGACCCATTGAATACAATGGGATTTAGATGTTTGAGCGTTTTGTAGGGCGTTCGTCGAGCGTAGAACCCGCTACAAAACGTTCAGGTGTGAACGAGGGCTAAAGCAGAAAGCCGGGCTGGAGAAAAAGTCAACCTTGCAGCGGGCCCACCCCTACACTGCAAGGGGTTAAGTGTTGGTTTTGTTTACGGGAATTGGAATACGGCGAAATACTTTTTCCTCTTCCACCTTGACCAGTTCCCCCAAAAGCAATTCTCTTCCATACCTGACCCGTCAAGCCTATCCAAGGTCCTCATGTACAGTGCAGGACCACCCTGCACCCCCAATGCGTTTCACCCTGAGGACGGGCTTAACCATTGAATGTGTCATAACAGGAAGGGCCTAGGATGGTCTTTTGCAGTGAAGAGAAGCTGCTTGTTAGGGTGTACATACACTTAAAGAGTCACATATGGCTGAATACTGGCTGGCTCCTACTGTAGACTCAGAAGCCAGTGGTTTCCAACAACTTCATGATCACCGGTAGTGCCGGATTTACTCTCCCTACCGCCCCAAGGCCAGGTTTTTTTTTTACTGTTTCTTTATTTTTTATCACTTTTTTTTTTTTTTATTTAATTATTTCTTCTTATTTTTTTAATTTTTATTTATTTAATAATTTTTTAGACACAGGAGAAAACAAGCCCCTGTGTGATTAGCAATTGGAGGTGACAGGTTCTCTTTATTGACCCCTGTCACCTCCAATACGGGAGTTCTAGCGCAGCACGGCTCTCCCCTCTGAGGCCCCGTTCACATTGAGCGATTTTATCGCGCGGTAATTCCCGCGATATCGCGGCTATTGGCCGCGCGATATCGCTCTTCAAGGCATCTCAATGGGGCAAAGGGTCCTGCTGTCGCGGGTCGTGCGTCGCTACAGCAGGACCCTTTTTGGAGCGGATTTTGCCGCGATTCTCGCTTGCTCAATGCAAGCATTTGCGCGATATCGCGCAAAATGCAAATCGCGTGACAAAAAGGGGGGAGGGGGGGAGGCTGCAGACTTGTTACATGTGATCTCGGCGACATCGCTGACATCACATGTAAATGAACAATCGGCTTCCCTCACTCTACATACATTTAGCTCGGCGTGTGCAAAGCAGGACTAAGTGTAGAGAGGGCAACTTACCGCCCGGCGCCCGGGACTTCCCCACAGGGACACACCGCTGCCGCCCCTCTGCGCCCTGCCGCCCTGAGGCCGGGCCTCAGTGGCCTTGTAGGGAATCCGGGCCTGGTCACTGGAGGCCCCTTACATACTCCTGAGGAACACTAGAGCTGCAACTGGTGGTCAGCAAAATGCCAACGTGTAGTGAAACCCATATGTACCATAGAGACAAGCTGGGCAATGCCGGTACACACAGCGCCTGGGGCTGCAGCCGGTGCACTAAGGAACATTGAAACACTACGAACCCTAAGAGAACCAGTCATGGTTCTGTCCCATTCCTTGCGCTGTTGCGGTACTGGGAGAAGTCTTGACCGTCGGAACGTGAAGTTTGCTGAAGATTTGGGGCAGGAAAACCCATTCTTGTTTCTCCTTTTCAGGACCTGGCTGCCAAGCTGAAGCGTCTTCCTCTGACGGAGAAGAACTTAAAAATGTTCAACAACGCCACCGAGAACCGCATCCCCTCCAATGACCACCAGTTCTCCTGCGGGGAATGTGACAAGATGTGGTGGAGGAGGGTTCCACAGAGGAAAGAGGTGGGTGGTCAGAGGAACAGTGATAGCGGTGATGGGGGACTCACGTTGCACTTCTAGATTTTGGCCTAATATACTCCAATGAGGCCCATGACAACGAGGCCCTCCACCCTTCTATATCGGTATTGTGGGGGGCAGACCTTGAAGTCTCTCGGAGTTTCTGAACCGCTCAGTGTCTTCATTCACCTCGTCCAGTCCACCAACTTCTGCCACTGTTACCATGGCTTGGTCCTTCTATTATTCAGCACCAAGAACAAGTAGCGATCCTGCAGCTCCTCTGAGTGCCAATGAGTTCTTAAAGGAGAACTATGAGGGGGGGAGGGGCTTTCCACTCACCTCATAGTTCTAGCCGACCTGTGACAATGAGACTGTCTCAGGTCGGCTCAGTAGATCGGGAGGTGAGGGAACACATACCGGCGTTCGCTCACCTCTCGATCCTGTCACGGCTCTCTGCC